ACTGTGCCACAATGTACTGCACGAAAAGCGCACGGCAACACGAAATAGAGAAATAGGACAGACAAGCGCAGACTATCACCTGAAGCTTTATTGCAAGGTCGACGCAATATATGAAAGAAAAGATAAAAGGCCAGGGAGGGAAAAGGGAAGATAAAAATGCACAATCAGCCAAATCAACAAAATGTAGGCACATCAGGAGTATCACACACGTCATAAAAAACGTAGAGAGATCAACTCCTTATCGTGTATGGCCATAGAGGGAACACTGACGCATGACTCAGAAATCTTGTGAATATGCGCAGCCTCAGTAGGTTCGTGCACTCTTTGGTTTTTATGCCGAAAGAACACAGTAGGATCATCAAAGTGCGGCACGCAGCCGCATTTCCTACAGTAGGCTGCTAGACGAAAGTCGAAGTAGCCTTTCAGGGAATAAAAAAGTTCTCAAAGTCTAACATTTAGACAGAGACCTGTCTGAGCCACGTATAAACGATTTCGTGACAAGGGCATGGAGTAGGCAACACCGGTGATGCACTGGAGGTTACATAATTATAAATATGTCTAACATTGCATGTATCTTGCTGGACATATATCTGATTCACGACTCGTCTATCTAATTTGGCACATAAAGTGTATAACTCTTTCCTGGCAGAAATAACCGCTCGGACGCCACATTTTGATGCCACCTTTTTTAGGCGGTGAGTAAAACCGTGAACATATGGAAGACAGCTAATTTCTTATGCTTTGATCGCCTTCTCATCCAAGTTGCAACCAACGCCAGGGCCTCCTTTTATTTTCTTAACTTTTTGCAGACCTTTACCAATACATACCGTGGGAAGCCTGCTTGTCTAAGCTTTTAGACCTACCCAGCAAAACATTTTTCAACCAAATGAGTGCAGGATTTCTTCAGCGCAGAGCTAAAACAAAAGAGGGCAATCGCATTTTTACAAACTTGCCCAACTAGCCATTCTTCTTTTACTGTGAATTTACTTGTGGTTTGTGGTATTGTGTCATACCTACAATAGTTCAAATTTCTTTATATTTTTGCTTTTTACGCTTAACCATTCCGAGCGCTTCCGACGGCCAAAGTGCTTGTTTGTACTTACGACTGCGTATGTCCTTCATGCAGTTCTTAGCGCGACACTCCGTCGTTCTAGACATCAGAGTTCAGCGCTGCATAACGCCAGAAATGTTCAAACGGCCTGACCACGCCGTTGATTTTGAGCAGTGAAGGCCTTTCCAATAAAGTCGTTTAGAACAGCCAGGGAATCGCAAGAAGCAGTGATTGTGCGGCTTTGTTCTGCAACGTAAAGTACAATCGAAGTAGAATGACGTAGCTTTTTTATACAACCTAAGACTGTCGTTATACATACTGTTACATTTGGCCCCACCATTCGTCTGGGCAGACACCATTGTGCATAAGCCGGTCTACTGGGGAGGCTCTCAGCCCATTCGGCGTTCGGTCTGCCAGATGCTGTCGATGATTTCGACAATTACCCAGAGCATGCGGCAAGCAACGGCAAGTTCCTGTCTTTGAAATGCGGATCCTTTCGTCGTCCCTTCGAGCAGCAGTGGTGCCTGATGACCTCGGCGACTCATCTGGCGAGGGGGAAGCTGTTGTTACCGGCGCCAGAGCTGACGGGAGAGCGGCGCTTCTTTTAATCCTCAATCAAGTAGCTGACCGGCCGGCTGCCTATGCCCGCCAGGCATTGTACCTGCTAGCCGGAGGATAAAACGTCGTGTCGCCACGACGCCGTAAACCGTTCGAGAGAGAGCAACAAAGACAGCATCTTCCTTGGAAGAGACCGTGGCGGCCACCGCAAATCGCCCCGCTAATTGAGCGAACACATCGGCGGACACCTTGATGTATGCTGTCAGGAGCTTGAGACCTCTCGACTAGCGGCACACACACGACGAGGAAGAGCCCCGCTGGCGCCACCTTGCAGTGCAGTGATCACGACTCAATATTGGACGTTCACGTGGGCCGTGCATGCTCGTCCCCCTCACCTGTTGTGTGTGTGTGATTGGTGTTCCACTCGGAGAGGAAGAGCCCGACAGGGCTTAAAACGACACCGCAGAGTGCTGGACGGCGCTCTGAACCATGTAACGGTTCAACCACCAAGCTCGTGGTTTGTGAAACCACTAACCCTTCTTTGCTGTAAATACTTGTAAACAATGTAATAAACCTGTTTGTTTTTGTATCCTCTTCTTGTCAGCGTTCGTTTTCTCCACCCGGTTACACCACGCTACCACAAGAGACCAGGTAGACCCCATTCGCAACAACTGGTGGCAGCTGTGGGATGCCATCAGCGACCTTCCTTTCAACCTTAACAACACACACACACACACACACACACACACACACACACACACACACACACACACACACACACACACACACACACACACACACACACACACACGCACGCACACACACACACACGCACGCACACACGCGCGCGCACACACACACACACAAACACACACACACACACACAGACACACACACACACACTCACTGTCTGTCTATAGCCAAGGAATAAAAATACAAGATTACATTAGAGGTAGGCGAGTGAAATCAGTTGTATATTGCTGACAGCCATCTTGCGCATTACAGATAATTTTGTTTGGTAATATAAATAAATATTTTTGTTATTTTATTTAATAAACGTAGTTGCTAAACACTACCTTAAGCGAAAGCGGGATTCGGAAAGTTTGGGAGTGTTTTCAAAAACCCCCCTTATAATGTTCGCCGTAATACCTCTCTCACACGTGGCAACTCAAGTGCACTTTGAGTGAGTGTACTTACGCTCACGAAGTGCCATTTAGGCGGTTTGCTGCTACGCGAGAAAGCGAAGTGTACTTTGGGAATGATGGTAGTGGCAATGGACGGATTTGTAGCACAACATAAATTTGTTATTTTTGCGCCTGTCTCATCTTCGGACCACGTTGTCTTTGTGGAGGTAGCACCTGTGGCACATGCCATCTTAAATGAATAGAAAACAACTAACCCACACACTTGCAAGTGTACCTGGAAGTAAACAACGTGACGGACGCAGCCATTGCTGTACATGCATGTGCTGCCGCATTTGCCTAGCGGACGTGGCCGCAAACAGCCCAACGGTGAAAATAGCGAGGTTATTGTTGCATTTTATTACTTGTTTATACATAACAATATCCATCATAACAAAAACAATAATTTAAACATACTGTGAGCGCCACTTGAGGCAACAGCGTCTTTCTGTACAAGCCACTGGTACCGAAACTACACACTTCGTCGCAGCCGTCACAGTGAAGTTAGGTTGGGGAACGCATTTGCCGGCAAGTGTACTTTGCAGCGAGTGCAACTGACACTCGCAGCGTAGTGTACTCGCTCAAAGTGCACTTAAGTTGCCACGTGTGACAGCGGTATAAAAAAAGTCTCACTCACGTGCAGTATATTCCTTTATAAACAATCACAGAAAGGCCACAAAATAAAATTTAAAAAATCACACCACACCCACGAGGTGAATGAAGACGAGTGAGGCAAAGCTGTCCGCCACCCATCCTCGTGCTAATATGAGTGCGCGTGCGTAAGACCAACGAGCAATTGAGAAACGTCAGTGCCTCGTCCACCGACGTCTGGAAGCTTGACATTGTTCAGAAGTACGAGGCCAGACCACCCGAAATGGACGTAAGCACGGACAGGCGGATGCACGGACGGACGCTTCGCACCATCATCGACTCCATGGATTTCCTGTGACACCATTTTTATGGACATGCAATGGAATTCAAGTGGGTACTACGACGACTACGATGACACGAGACGTACGACCCACGGTGTATGGAGCTTTACCCCTAAAAAGCGCGAGACCAGCGCATGCACTTGCCCCGACCATGCTGCTTTTAATCGTGGTGTGAGCGAACCAAATCAGCTGCGGCCACAACTCGCTGGTTCCATTGCAGTGGTAGGCCGAATTAGCCTGTGGTTGCTTGTCATGCGCCAGCGAGATGGCGCGCGTAAAGGTATAGGTTGTAGTGAAACAGCGATACTTACGCAACGGTAGGCCCTTTCATACAAACTTTGGCGGTGCAAAACATTTTTCACGCTCAAGCTTTGAGTAAGCGTTACCTTGGTGCGTTTTCAGTGCTTGTTCTTTTTCTAGCACGTGTATTTTTGTGGTTTGAATGTTCCAGAAAGATTAACTGCGCGTTACACGCCTGATTTATCGCACAGAGCCAATTTGTTGAAATGTTCTTGACGCGATGTCTCTGCGGCGACACACTCAGATGCATTCTGTTAAAACGCTGAATTCTGGACGTAAATGCATTTCACACAAAGCGCAATTCTTTGAATATTACTTTGTGCTTTTGAGCAATAGCACAAAACATGCTGAAAGCTCTTCGCCACGTTTTATATTTCAAATAGCTACACCTGAACCTGGCTAATGCGTCAAAGTCAGCATACGCTCGAAAACTCGGTGATCGCGTTGCCCTGCACTCGAACAATACGCTCAGGTCGCGGGTTCGCATCCCGGCTGCGGTGGCTGCATTTCCGATGAAGGCGGAAATGTTGTAGGCCCGTGTGCTCAGATTTGGGTGCACGTTAAAGAACCCCAGGTGGTCAAAATTTCCGGAGCCCTCCACTACGGCGTTTCTCATAATCATATGGGGGTTTTGGGACGTTAAACCCCACATATCAATCAATCAATCGAACAATACGCTAACTCCTGTGTTGTCAGTCATTAGTAAAGCAACAGCAATTGCAACGTTGACATTGAACTGTTCGGTAATTGAACGCACCAGATTCTACATCACCAAAGACAATACTGTCGCCTTTCGCGATCATTTCAGAATACGGGTCCTGCACTTTTTAGGGCACGGCTACATCTTCAGTTGCGCGCGCAGTCTACGAAGAAATGCGAGGGCAAGAGGGACGACTCGTATGCTTGGTTACGGTTTGCCCTGCTATGCGCGGATTCTTGCACAAGCGCCGAAGACATAATGACGTCATATCGAGATGACATATAATCGTTCTCCCGCTAACTTTTGCCTTTCGCTTGCCAGACAGCGGCGTTATGACGAGCAACACCACATGTGAGTACATGCTGTTTCAGGCTTAATTTTTCGGGCTCTCATGTCGCAACAGTAGCTCGGTAATGGCATATTTGTTCATTTAGTAAGTGGTTATTAATACACTGTGAGGTGCAGCGTTAATTCAGTGCCCTGTCTTCGGTGTAATTTAGATGTGGTAGTGTATATATGTAAAAACATAAAAAAACTGACACGAAGCTCCAAAAGTGCGCCTGCTGACTGTATGCTCAATGGTTGCCTTAATTTAGGTATTTTTATGGGGTGTGGAATCAGTCCTCTCGCGACGCCAATACAGCTGTGTCAGAACAAGGAACTTACGATACTGCTGATATTGTACCCTGCAGTGGCCCCTGCTTTCGTTTTGCCTTTATTTAGTGACGGGTCATCGAGTCAGGGAAACATAGTTTAACGGAAACTGGAATGCACATGTCTTGTACTCTTTCTTCGTTTTTCAACCTTGTCACTAGGCTGACGTTGAACTGTAGCCTGCCTGTCTGTAGTAATTTGAGACGGGGTTTCGCTTTTATACCAACCAGGGCGCGTGTGTGACTCGGCTGTTTGTGTATAGCAGACAAAATTTGAAATAAGAAATTCCGCTACACTTTCGCGCATACTGCTTCGAGCTTATTTGTGTCAGGTCCAGGCTAGTGCAGTATTTTGTGTAAGTGCTAGAATGAGAGCGTGAGAAATGACAGATCAAGAAATTGGGGCCTTGGCCGAAGTGATTTGTAGCTAAATATTCACAATTACGTGCCGTGCACGCCCACTGCAACCCAGTGCCCGCTGTTTGGACAAGACTTTTCCGCTAGAGCAGATTGCACGCTGGCTTTGTCCTAGTTCAGTGTTAAACTATGATACATTGTGTTTTAAGTCTTAAAACCACGATATGATTATGAAAGACACCTTAGTGGAGAACTCCGGAAATTTAGACGGTCTGGTGTTCAACATGCACTGAAATCGCACAGTACACGGGCCTCGGCCATTTGCCTCCAACGAAACGCGACCGTCGCTGCCGGGACCCGACCTTTGCGTCAGCAGCTGAGCACCGTATAGTCACGCATCTACCATAGTGGACCTGGTTCACTGTTGGGCCAGTATTTCATAGCATTGTTCGTACCGTTACTATGCCATTTCATGCATTTAGCGCTTAGCCAATCTTCAGAGCAACTGTCCGCAGACGTTTTCGAATACATGAGCCGGCCGTGAGCGATGTCTAGGACTGGTATAGAACGGAGCGTAACGCATCGCTGCGTAGTTTGTAATCTTTCACATTTTAAAGCAACGTTTTGCGCTTGTAATAGCGCAAAGCAATGGGGGAGCCTTTGTGTGACGGAGACGTTTAGACGCAACAAAATATGTGACCACACTGTCACACGCAGTGCTTCAGCATCTGGCTGATCGTTTCGCGCTGACAGGCTCACTGTAACTATAGACAGTACGCGTATTTTCACGTGGCTGAGACGGTGAAGAACGCAGCTGTCAAACTAAAAAAAAAAAAAGATCCTTATTGTGCGAGCCTGTGTCCAGTAAAACGAAGCGTCCTGCATTGAGATAGCGGCGGCCGACGATAATCGGCTAACCTCAGGAAATCAACTGATTGCGCGAGCGGTGGCACAACCACGCCCACTTTTGCTCTGCTGCTGTCCCGAAGGTCACCGGCTCGATCCCAGCCGCGGCGGTCGAATTTCAATGAAGGCGAAATGGTAGAGACCCAAGTGCTGTGTGATGTCAGCGTACGTTAAAGAACACGAGATGGTGCAAATTTCTTGAGCCCTCCACTACGGCGTCCCTCATAATCCAATCGTGGTTTCGGGACGTAAAACCCCCGTATGTTATGTAAAGCAGCACGGAGTACTATTGAATTCAAATGAAACTCCAACAGCGGCAAGCCTTCGCGATTGCGTAGTGCGTGCCATTCGCGTATCACCATAAGCAGGCACGCGTATAGAGGAGACCCACGCCGAGGGAGGCGCTGCGCAGCGTGGCGCTGTCAGTCAATGTGGGGAGAAAACTGGTTACTCGAGTGTTGGCCTCTCCGCTGTCCCATTCAACCTGCCTTGAAAACGCGTTGCTTTACTCGCACGCTGCACGCGTTCTGCACGTGTTTTTGAGTTGGGCGTCGCGCGCGGTTATGATGTATGCGCTCTCTCCGCATTTAATAGGATGCCGCAATTGAGGATTTTTTTCGTGGCAGCAATTTGGTAAAAGGGCAGCGAAGCAAGTTGTAGCAGACAACGCCGTCCTCGTCAGAGCGAAGTGCGTTTCGTAAGTGAAAGACGACGCTGTTTATGACGTTAGAGGTGAATAAAACTTTCTGTACGTTCATAATTATATACATGTTTTATTTGGTTTACTCTGTGTACTATGCACTATGTTTGTTCCTGGATGCATGGGTAAGGCCGCTTCTCGTGCTTTAGGTTAAGTGGTTCTTGCGCTGCGACTGCTATTAGTAGGGACACCTTAATTTACTAGCACCCACCCAAGTTATTGTGCGGTGTATACACAACACTTCAAAAATAAATGGTCTATTTGGGACTTATTTCTGACCCACAACAAAAATTGACATCTATCTCGCGTGTCTTTCCTTGCATTATCACCGTTCTCATCGCGGGTACTTTGAGTTCACGAACAGCGTGCGTACCATCATGATGAGCGCCCAGCTTTCAGAGAAACTTTTTTGTGTGTGTCTAATCTGCAGGGAAAGAGCGCATTGCTATAAAGGCATTTTATCTTGGTCACGTATCAAAAACGCATCGTGTTGTTCGGGCTGCCCCTGCACACTCAGTAACAACTAGTTTACTGTATCTGCCAACGGACGTGCAACAACAGCTAATGCATTTTTTTTTCTTTTTTTCATAGTTGTTCAAGCTTTTGGCAACCACACACTTCCGTCGGCGCTGCGTAGATTTAAAAATATATAACACATTACCAATACCACATGTGCACACAGCTTCAACTACTGCTTCCCCAACAATATTAAATAAAAGTAGCAGCATAAAATATTTCTTCACTATTTTTTAACAGCGCTCTAAAGACGGGCGTTGAAAATCTATACTTTTAAGATGGGGACGTGCATCTCCCAGTAACTCGATAGATTAGAGGAACGGTGACGCAGGAATTAACACACGTAATTTTGAATGCATTGTGCGCGTGCTAATGTTTATGAAAAAAATTGTTTACATACTTTTTTGGGCGCACTACTTTAATCCATTTCTGTCGTCTGCTTGTTTCGTACCATCGGTTTGGGAATCGGTAGAATTTCACTTGTGGAGTCAACCTCTTCGTGTTTGCATGGTTATTGTGACAGTTGACGACGCAGCGATGTCACCCCCTTTTTTGTTGTGGTGACATCACGCAATGAGGGACGTTTCACGTGCAGCGCGTGCTTCGCAAATGCGTGGAAGCCAAAGGGAGCGGAAGGGTCGGAAGACGCTACTGTTGTGCGCTTTTTTTGGCAGGGGAAAGGCAAGCGCTGGCGTCGCCGGGCAAACTTGAGCGGGTCTCCCCTATATGCGCAGAGCTGCCGAACAGGATGCGTGCGCCAGTCAATAGTGATAACTGGACGGTGTGCACTATACCATCACGGCCTTCAACTGTTCGGGTTTCATTTGACACTGCTAGTAGAGTGCGGTCCACTGTTAGGGGAAACACGCGAGCGCGCGGCCGGCGCTCCGCGGGGCGCCAACTGCTGGCGAGATCCGGAAACGCGGAGAATGCGCACAGAATCGCAAGGGTGGTTCGTGCCCTGCGTCGTCTGCTATAATTCCCCGCCCAAGCGCTGGGCGCGCGCTAACGCCATGCAATGTTTTAGTGGTCAGAAGGAAGAGCCGGCTATGATCGCTGCATCGGGAACCAATTTCCTTGTCTGTTATCAAAGGCGGCCGGCTTGTTAGAGCGTTGTGCAAAGCTTACGACTAACATTTTGGTGAGCATTGACAGTGACAGGCTACACAAGTGATGTGCTTCGTGATCGACTTCCCAGAATTTCGTGGCTGGGGGCGTAATTATTCTATGAACGAATTTTCAGTGGGGCCAGCTCTTAGATGCGGCATGGCCAGGGTACCTGCGGATGACAGGCTTCGAATAGTCAAGCTCTACATTAAAGAATAGTCGGCGTGTTGTCACTGCCGTGGTAAAGCGTGAATGAAGAGCGTGACGGTGCTCATGTTTTAGAAATTGTGAGATACCACAGCAAGAAACAACCTGGACCTTTTGTGTGCCTGCTGATTACTAGTGGATACTTGAATCGCTACGCAAAAAAATTGAATGCTCTCGTCAAGCACAGGGGCGGAAAGTATTTGCGCTTTTATGCGCGTGCACCACGTTTAGAAATCTCGCCACGCGTTCGCGTGTTTCCCCTAACAGTGGACAGTACTGCACGTGACATGCGTAAACTTAAATTGTGGTGCCATGGCAGTTCTTTTGCCGACTGCCTTATCGGTGACCACGGCAAAAAAAAAAGATTATGGAGCATCAAACAGCCCACGCCTGCTTTGTTTGCTTGAAGCGCGACTGTTTTCACTGCCCAATGTTTGTTTCTATGGGAACGTGATTATTGCTGCGGGAGCCATGGTGGGATCTCAAAGCGAGGAAAATTGATTTCTGCAGCGTTTCCAGCAGAGATCGAGGAGTGAAAAATACTGAGGTTGAGACTACTACAGAGAAAGAGGTAGCGAAAAAGAAATAGAAAAACGTTATAAACCTACAGGATAGAATTAAGATAGAAAGAAAAACAATTGAACGTAGAAAAGAGGTACAGACTAAAAAAACTGTGAGGGTAGCTATCTATAGTATAATTAGGCAGGGGAGACGGGTGAGAGGGTAAAATTTTAGCAAAGCAGTGCCAGCTATACGTGCTCAATAGGTAGGTCAGCTGGGATTCAGCCTTTCGTGGCGTCATGCAAACTGCAGTAATTTTTCTCCTTTCATACCAGGTTCTTTCTACAGACGCTACAGAATAATTGCATCAGGACACAAGAAACCAGTATTTTTGCCAACAAGAT